CCCGCCCCCCTCTCTCCCCAAAGAAATCCAACAAACAGGAACAAAAATTCCCAGAAGACCCCTACCGGTACTCCGTATAAACCAACATTTCCCTAGCCAAGTGGAGCAGAAATACCGATATCCCAAATCATCTATCTTACGGTGGCGATAGGAGAATGGAATGGGGTATCAAAACCAGTCCAGTCTACGTTTCGACCGGTCTTAGCGAGGAGAGCAGTTTTGTAGGGAAGCGGAGGGCACTGCTTGGAGAAGAGGGTTATACAATCCTGTTACTGTACCTAGGTAATTCGATAGCGCAGAAAGGATAGAGAAGCTTAGTGGAGGGAGTGCACCCCCCGGTCGGTGGTGTATCTCTCAAGAGTGCAGCAAATCCACGGCTAGTAAAGGGGATGGGCAGATCAATTAAGCTGTTGTATATTACATGTTATTTCACAAGGGCTCTATACTGAGCACCGCCAGGCTAAACCTCACTCTTTCCGCCCATGTACCTCTCCTCCCCTTGCGGCACATCCCCTTTCGCAGACCCCTCCTCCACAGACTCCTCCTTCCGCGCCAATTTTTGCTCGACAAGATCATACATCGCATCCAACCACCTCTTACTCGCCATCTGGCCCCTATACAACCTCATAGATATCTGATCCAGAATCAACTTCGCCCTCTCATCCCCCTTCTCCGCACACCGCCTGACCATCAACCCCGCCGTACCCCTCCTCATCCACCACCCTTTCTGTCCATTCTCGAATTTATCCTTGCCAACCTCAATCATCTCGTCAAGATACCTGAATGCATCCTCATAGTCATCTTCTTTGAGGCAGATCAGGATCAAGCGATCGTATGTAAGGAAATCGGCTTTGACGCCTGCTGCGATCATCTCCGCAACGAGGAACATAGCTGTGCTTTTCATGTTTTCGCATTTTTCTGCACCCTGGAATAGGAGGTTGAAAGTTTCCGTACTGGGGCCTGTTGCGCAGATTTTATGTAACTCTTTGTAATAACCCATCGCTTCCTCAAAATTATCGTTGGCAATGGCTCCCTCAATGATCACATTGACAGCTGCAACATGAATGGGATGTCCCTGTGTAAAAAGATCCTGTATTACATACCAAGCTTGCTTCGGCCGAGTGGGCGATTGGGACAGATATGTGTAAATAGGGCGGGTAGAAGCTGATTCAGGCTTAATCTTAGCCTTCTCCATGATGTTAAGGATACGAAAAGCGGTAGTGAGATCTTCGGCTCCCGTATAAGCTGCAAGAAGAGCTTCAAAGTGAAATGAGGAGAGAACTGTACGACGTGAAGAAAGACGCTTGACTGCAGCAGTGGCAAGGATAGGGTCCGCATATCTTGCTGCAAGATTGAGAACATTCGCACATATACCGTCCGAAGGGTTGAGATACGATGAACTAACACGGAGATTCCAGATATATTTTGTACCCTCATACTAGGAGGCCTGTTAGTTGAGAGATATACCAAGAGGAAGAAAACTTGCATGAAAAGCTCTGCTAAATTTGTCCAGCATATAGTACCAAACTGGTGATGCTATATGTTTTCTGACTTTTTGGAATCGATAGATGAGTAACTGCAGAGCTTCGTCAAGTTCTCCAGCATGACATAGCTTGTAAAGAAAAATATCATACAGCCATGCCTGAACAGGAATCTCGTCCGAGTGCATCTGATCTAGCTTGTCCATAGCCATCTCGTATTGCCGGTCTCTTAGAAGTCCAGCAACCAGGTTATGCCAACCGTCGGGCGAGAGACCAAACCATCGCTCCTTCATCTCTTGTAGCATTTCATTTCGGAGGAGGTAGTCCGGATGGATAGCCAACACCTATCGTTGTGTTAGCACTTTTCCAAGCAGTCAGAGAGAACCAAGACATCGTACCTGGAGAACAGAATGGTACACACTGGAACTCCGACCAATGCCCTCCTCGTTCATTGCCCGCAGCAAGTCTTTGACGGCTTCAACGCTGCCCTGCTCCGCATCGGCATTTGCATATATCAGAGCCTCATAATGGAGCGTTGTCGGTTGTTCCCCTCGAACGGCGATTAAATGCTCCACGATATCAAGTATCATCTGGTATCCCCCTTCCGTATTCCTCATGCGCTGCAGCTGATCGTATAATCGTGATAGAGGAACATGTTGATACTGATCCGGTGTGAAGTTGCTGATTACCCGAACGCGACGCTTTCCTGCGTGGGTGAGTCTATTGGTGTCGTTTTCTTCGAGGTTGAGGGGGGAGTTATGGAAGCTTCGAGGTCGCACAACTCTTTTTTCATGGCACTGGTACTTTGATCGTCTGGCGCATACTTGGGAGGAGAAGGAGAAGGGACGAGTCGAGAATGGTTGGAGAGAAATAGCATCGATTGAGGGACACAGACAGCGCCATAATCCGTCGATTGGTATTCGAAGAGGTGGCATTGGGTTTTGGGTTGCCAGCCAACCTGCGGGACGCTATAAACTCCAGGCTCGGAGCTTGAAAACCCCCGCCGGCGAAAATTGACGGTCACGTGAGACGTTGTTTTCGAGTGATCAAAATCAAGAGAACTGTAACGAATACTCAAACTGGCTAACTAAATTTGGCTGGGTGTTCGCTGGTTGGTATGCTATGATAAGAAGAAGACTATCGGGTTGTTTACTTGGAAGTGAACTCGTTACTTGTATCAAAGATGTCAAACTAATATGATAAGATTGATAACTAAGTTGAGCACGAAGCT